ATACATAATGCAAATTCCGACCGAAGTTCTCAGTTTTTATAATTTAAATGTCTGTATGTCGCTTCCATGACACTTTCACTTGCAGCACTCAAAGCCTCGTCCAGACCGAGCGCTAAAAGCCTCAGCCAGACTGAGCACTCAAAGCCTCAGCTAGACTGAGCACTCAAAGCCTCGGCCAGACCGAGCACTTCAAAGCCTCAGCCAGACCGAGCACTCAAAGCCTCAGCTAGACTGAGCACTCAAAGCCTCAGCCAGACTGAGCACCCAAAGCCTCAGCCAGACTGAGCACTCAAAGCCTCGGCCAGACTGAGCACTTAAAGCCTCGGCCAGACCGAGCACCTAAAGCCTCGGTCAGACCGAGCACTCAAAGCCTCAGCCAGACTGAGCACCCAAAGCCTTAGCCAGACTGAGCACTCAAGGCCTCGGCCAGACTGAGCATTTCAAAGCCTCAGCCAGACTGAGCACTTCAAAAGCCTCAGTCAGACTGAGCATTCAAAGCCTCAGCCAGAGCACTCAAGGCCTCGGCCAAACTGAGCACTTCAAAGCCTCAGCCAGACTGAGCACTTCAGAAGCCTCATCCAAACTGAACACTTCAAAGCCTCAGCCAGACTGAGCACTCAAAGCCTCATCTAGACTGAGCACTTCAAAGCCTCAGCCAGAACTAAGCACTCCATGCTGAGATCATCTTATCCACGAAATTTCGTAAAGCAGGACCACGTTTTTAACACTCAGTCACATTTTGAAGCTTATTCACAATTCCAAGACCACGTTTTTACTTAGTTAGATTCCAAAGGTGTTCTCACGTATTTCATTTACTAATCAGATTATCTCCCACTCCACCCAGCTTGTTTCTCCAATCTCTTCTCTACAAGTTTACAATTAACCGTTTAGTTACGATTTGCAACCTACTTTTCTGTCCTCATCCATGGATTCTTCATCCGTACTTATTAAACTGGAAGTACTAACCCCATTCGAATATTATGTTCTACAATTTTATAATCCAATTTTTCAATAAACCACTATCATCCTTTCAATTTTCATACAAATCCAATCTCACTCTGCAGGGAGGAACTTTTAACTTAACTTTGCACGAAATTTTTATTGCACAATTTTTATGACCAGTTTTTATGACAAAACTTCATTCATTTTAGACAATACAGGCCAACACAGTCAACTGACAACATAAACGAAATTTTATTCATTTACAATGTGTACACAAGTTCATTACAATAAAACCAAAAAAAAAAAAAAAACACAGAAAGGGGGCTCTTCATCTCCCTTGGTTATTCCTCCTCGCTGGATACAAGCTCTTCTTCTTCAATGCCCTCGTCCAGGGGGGTCTGGGTCACATCATCTTCACCAATCGTTACACTACTCAGCTCCCAATCTGGGAACAGCTCTTCAGCTCTGCGTTTGAACATCTTCCAACCGCTGTCCCAGAACTTAGCCATTTCGTGCTTGTAGAAGTCTGACTGCTGGAAGCTCTCAATAACTTCTGCCTCCGTCCTACCTCCAGCAGTCGTCCTTGATGGGCCCACCCCCCCAGATTCTTGCCCAGCCAGGTTCCTGGCGACTGCGGCATCTACTGCCATCTAAAATTCGGGAGACCCCTTGTATTGCTCCACTGCTGCGACGCACAAATCGGGGTAGACCGCCTTCTCAAAAGCCGCCTTCGCCCTCTCTTCGTCCAGCTCTCTCTGCAGGGCTCCCCTTTCAGCAGCCGCCGTTGCCCTTTCCTCTTCCATTCCCTTCCTCAGACTCTCCATCTCTGCCATCGCCTTCGCCTTCTCTACTTCCAACTCCCTCACAAGCCTCCCCTTTCCTTCTCTGCTTTAGCGCGCTTATCCTCCAACTCTTTCAACAGATCTCCAATTCTGGCATCTGCCTCATCTTTTTGCCTGACCAGCTCTTCATTGCTACTCACGGCCTCTTCATGCCGTTCGACCGCAACGGCGCAGGCTCTTTCAGACTCCTCCAACTTTTTCTGTTCGCCAGCCAGTTGGAACTCGAGCGACACGACCTTACGGCGTGTGTCCTCCAGCTCCAACTTGACTGCTTGCAGCTCAGCATGGGCAGTCTTCCAGTCGGCACTCTCCTTCTTCAACTTGGCCAACTGGGCCTTGGCCTCTTCAGCTTTTAGCTTGGCAGCCCCTGCTTTCCTTAGAAGTGCCCCTGCCAAGGTGGTTACCTCCATTTGGGCGGAAAATAGCCCCCTCAGCAGGTCAGCCTCATTGAATCCGGATGCCGAGCGTAGGGCTGTCTCATCCACAATCTTAACCAAGCAGTCTGCCCCCGCCCTGGCTGGGCCTTCTTCTCCCTCCAACCTTCCAGCTACCGCGCGAGCGTGATAGATTGCCGTGGCCTGATGGATCCCTCCTTCCTAGGGTGTAGGGCCCCTTTGGGTCTGCTCCCTCCTGCTCAGCTCAGCCTTAGTCAACCCAACTCCTACTTGCATTGTTGGGGCAGTCTCTACAACCTCCAGTGTTGGGGTGACCCCTACCACCTCTGGGGTATCCTTGGCCACAGGGACCTTCACCTCAGCTGGGGTCACCTTAGCCCTCTTGGCCCCAGACTCATCTGCAGCTCCCTCTGGGGCACTCCTCTTCTTTTTCTTCTTCTTCTTCAGAGCCTCTCCCTCCTTTCTGGCCTGTTCTTTTACAGGATCTACTGGCGGCGGTCGTGGCTCAAAACTACTTAAGTCCTTCCCCCCTAGCGGCCTTGGGCACGGTCGGATCCTCTCCCGCGCGATCGGTTGAGGCGGTCGGTCTCCTCGCGCTTCCTTCAACTTCGTGGCTTTGGCCCTCGGCTGCGGTCCCAACCCTGCCTCAAACAATGCGGACAGCTGAACAAGCTCGTCCCATTTGGCCTTCTCTCTCTCCCTCCACTCCTTCACCCTCTTCACCCTCTCTTCCGCCGCTGCCCCCAGTCTTGGCTCCATCGACCTAATGGGCACCTTCCAGATGGTGCGCACTCCCAGTCCCCCATTGGCAGACATGTAGAACCACCGTGGCCGCCACCCCTTGATCGATGTCGACAGCCCCGCTACCAACCCCCTCCCCATCACTGCCTGTAGGGTGACCCACGTCTCTTGCTGCCCCGAAGCCTTATAACAGGAAAAGAACTCGTCTACCGCCATGGCTTCCCCTCCATTCGCCTTGGGCCACGCGCTAGCACAGGCCAGCAGAATCTTCCATGCATTGGGCATCAATTGCCCCGGTGCTACCTCCAGACGATTCAGTACGTCAACCACCACTTGGGGCAGTGGCAACCTCAGCCCACCTTTTAGCGCCTCCTCGTAAAGGGAAAACTCCCCTGGCCTGGCATCAGACGGCCTTTCCCTTGATGTTGGCAGCAATAACTCCACCTCAGCCGGAATCTGGTATTTTTCCCTGATAGCCTCCAAATCCGCCGCAGTGATTGTGGATTTGTCAGCCTTAGTGTGCCACTGATCCGGCTCTACCTGGCTTATTGGCCTTGGAGCCACTATCAGGGCCGATGCCTGCGATTGTCCCACCGGTTCCCCCACCCCCACCATTTGTGTCTCCGTCCTATATCGCGTTGCTAGCTCCTCTGCATCATCGTCTCCCAGGGGGTCCACCCTCACATTTCCCACTTCTTCTTGTGCCATTTCTAGGGTTTGCTTACGAATCACTTTTGACGCAGGAGCAAGGAAGTTGAGAAAATGTTGCAAAGGTGTGTCGTGCGCAATGAAGGAATTAACACTTGGGTATTTTGAGTTTTTGTAAAAAGGTAGGTGAAACGAATTATACCAAAAACCCACGGTTTACCCGTATTCCATGGATCCAAATTAATTTTCGTCCGTTTAAAAACCTTTCAAATCAACCGCCAAAACTGCCTTTTCAAAACCCCTCCTCGTAACCTATCGTTTCATTTCTGCTCCAACGCTTCACTTCCCCCACGATATTGCCATGTGTATGGCCACGATGCACTGTCCCCTCCCCTTACCCTGTCCTTTTCATTTCACATTATCACATGGCACGCCCCCCTTTTTTGAGCCCCGCGCCGTCTTGGTCGGCACGCCCCACGCTCGGGCGCCCCCCGCTCGGTCACCCTTGCGGTCGGCACGCCTCGCGGTCGACCCCTCCCGCTCGGCCACCCTTGCGGTCAGCAGCACGGCCTAACGGTCAGCCTTCTCCTGCTCGGTTCGCACTTTCTCTTCCTTATTACTATTTCCCTTCGTTGACTAAAACTGTACTTCGAAGGAAACTGGGGACTACTGAACGCATGATTAGGGCCCATAAGGCGTTACAGCCCACAGCAAACAACCCCAAACCATCGCGGGACCCAGAGCATAACCCGGCTGGGCAAAGCCCAGGACCGCTGGAGGCCATCTGGGCATAGAGGGCCAATGACATTCGGGCACATGGCAGGTGAAACACAGGCCACATCAGCAGACAAAGATCTGCAGAGTTATTGCCATAACACATCACCATTAATGCAGCCCATCACAACATTTATTACGACAACACCTCCCCGTCGGAACAGAGCCCCCTCACCCTGAACAAGGTAAGCTACGGCACAGGCTTTCGGTGGAAGGGGGCACGTCGCAAGGGACAGTGAAATGATTACCAAAGGATATAAGCAAGAATCGAAGACAAGAGGAAGGTTAAGCTTTTCTATCTCTCTCTCTCTCTATATTTCCTTCTTCCTCTACTGATTTGCTCGCCGCAGGGTTCACTAGGGGACTACCCCATTCCCCTTTGGACTTGCTTGCAGGTCATCTGGTGGAATCATCCGCTTGGATCGGAACTTGAAGAGTTTGGATCAGCCCGACCCATCCACCTAGGACGAACTGCATCATCATATTTGTTTTTTCAAACTTAAAGAAGATATAATTTACCCTGAAATTTATTTATATCGCATTAGAAAATAGATAATTAAAAAAAAAACAAAAAACATAAAATTGAAAAAATATATAATTTTGTCTAATTGTTTTTCATGTGTGTGTGTGCGTAAGTAGCAAAAACGAAGCAATAGCCACGGAAAGTTGCGTACGGTGATTTGCTGAAATGTCCCTCAATTTCTCACCACTCACAATTCCTATTTTCTTCCCAACTAAACACCTTTAATTACACACACCATCTCTTTCTTCTCTCGAACCCTAATTTCAATTCCTTTCAATATTCTTACCCCTCGTAAAGGTAATTCCTTCACTTCTAATTCGAAATTTCCTGCGTATATTATTTGATTTGAAAGTGTTTATCAATCAATTGATTCGAATTTAGGTACCCAATTGCTGTTCTGCTTTTACACTTTGTATTCACGTAATCATATTAATGGGATTTGTTTGACTTTGTTTGCACTATATATATATATATATATATATCTATATCTTGCAATTAAATTTTCCCAGTATGAAATGCTTGAATTGTTTGATTTCTTGCTTGGATGCCGTTTGCTGAGGTCTGGGATTGTCATGACTTTCTCGGGAAAAAATCTATCGAGAAAGAAGTGCACTGGGTCGAATTATATGGAGTGTGAATTTAATGGTTTATTATGTTGTGTTTTTAGGAGTGTACTGTTCTTTGTGGTAATTGTTTTCATTTTTTATTGGGAATTATTTATTTTTTTCTGTCAACTGAGATTTTTTATGCTGCATATGGGTTTGATGTCCTTTAGGTGGTAAATTCAAAAGCAGTTATGATTACAAAATAAAAAATAAAATCAAAGGCAGTTTTGGTTGAGATATGAGAATGGGCTCTAGCTCTTCTGATTTTTTATGTACTATGTTTTCCTTCTTTTTTTTGAGGTATGTTTGAAGATTTCAAATTGGGACTTCTGTTTGATGTCTTTTCAAAAGCATCTCAATTGACTCATTGTTTGATATTTACTTGGGAAAATAACAAATCAATGTAGAAAATAAAAAATAATTACAAACACGTGAGGATGTAACTTTTTCTGTGCAAAGAAATCACAGCAAAAGTCATCCCTCGCCTTTTGATAAATAATTTCCCCACTTCCTGCTGTCTTGTAATTTCACCTATTTACTTCCACTTGTTTGTGGAGAAATTTGGAAGGGGAAAAGGAAAGGTTAAGAAAAGATGGGTTTTGATCTTATCTTTCTTCATGCTCGGTTTTAAACGAACTAAAATCCAACCTCAACCTAGCCTTGTAGTTCTGTGAAGCTCTCTATTACTCTATGTTTCTGTGTTAATGCAATTTTACCCTAGAAAAGCAAATACGTTAATTAAAAAGTATAAATGTCTAGCCATTTCTTGGCATCGTCATACATAAGAATTAGAAGTATTTGATGCTTAGAACATACCTGAGTTCTTATAACATAGATGAAGCTTTACTGCCATTGTTTTTTGTTTAATCAGGTTGCAAACAAGGGAAAATCTGTTGTTCAATGAGTCATTTTATCATTTATTATTATTATTATTTCGGTAGCCAAATGGAGCATAGTATCATGTGCCAAATTATTTTTTATAACTTGGTTCGTTTCACCATCTTGAGTGTTCTAATGGTTTGCTAATGAATTTGAACTCAATCCCTTGGAGGTTTTAAAAGAGTTTTACTCTTTGCCTTTCTGTACGAATTGGGTATTTATAAATAACAATTTCGTATTTTATACCAAGCATACATTGGTCTTTCAAATGTTGAACATTAGCTTAAACAGGTGTTGTCCTTTTTCATTTGTCTTGTTTATTAATATCTTTAATATATGAGTCACTTTTCTGGTTATTCAATATCTTGTTGAAGCTACAAATCATGGTAGTATTTTGTCAAAGTACATTGTGTACATATAACCATATCACTCTACCAATGTGGGGGAGATATTATTAAATTTGCTAAGGAGCTCTCTCTATCTCTTTCTCAATTTCTTGCACATAAAAAGCTTGGTTGGAACTTGGAAGTTATGGCTGAGGTATCCAAGCTGTTTTTGGAAAAGTTGTGATTTGTGAATGTATGTGAATCTTGCTGTCATTGTTTTGTCATTGTAATTTCATCTATTGTTGTGTTTCCATCACAATTTAACTATGGGAATGATACCCATGACCTTCCGTTCTCACACCCCTTCGTTGCTGCTGTGAGTTCAGTTTTATTGTTGGTGATTTTCAAGTAGAAATGGAACAGTCTTGCTGCACATGGACCTGGTCCTAGGGAAGAAGGATTGACTTCCAGGGCTGGATGCTGTGTTGTTTCTAAACTGGATTGGAAGTGTCAAAACAGAGTCTGATGGGGGCTATATTGAGTTGTAGGGCTAGAAATTGTGAGCTCTATGAAATTTCACAGGGTGAAGCCTGCAAAAGGCAAAGGACGTCTTCAAGTTTTTACGAGGAGAACCCACGTCTAATTCCTAGCCTTCCCGATGAGATATCGATCCAAATTCTCGCCAGACTTCCTAGAATTTGCCACTTAGGTGTAAAATCGGTCTCACGGAGCTGGAAAGCTGCCATTGTGAGTCCTGAACTTTATAAGGTCAGAAAAGAGCTTGGAACAACTGAAGAGTGGCTCTATGTTTTGACAAAGGTCGAAGATGATAAACTTATGTGGTATGCTTTGGACCCACTGTCCAGGAAATGGCAAAGGCTGCCACCAATGCCCAATCTCAACGGAGAAGAAGGATGTAAGAGGGGCCTATTAGGCCTTCGGATGTGGAATATGGTGGGATCAAGTATCAGAATTGCAGATGCCATAAGGGGCTGGCTCGGGAGGAAGGATGCATTGGATCGAATGCCGTTTTGTGGTTGTGCCGTTGGGGCTGTTGATGGCTGCATATATGTGCTAGGGGGTTTTTCTAGAGCATCGGCCATGAGTTGTGTCTGGTGTTACGATCCAATTCTAAACAGGTGGACCGAAATGAGTCCAATGTCAATAGGTAGAGCTTATTGTAAGACAGGTGTCTTAAACAAAAAACTTTATGTTGTTGGAGGGGTTACCAGGGGTCGTGGAGGACTAACCCCTCTTCAGTCTGCTGAAGTTTTTGATCCTTGTACTGGCCTATGGTCGCAAGTCCCGAGCATGCCATTTTCAAAAGCTCAGGTGCTGCCAACAGCTTTTCTGGCTGATTTGCTTAAGCCTATTGCAACTGGAATGACATCATATAGAGGAAAATTATATGTACCTCAGAGTTTGTATTGCTGGCCATTTTTTGTTGATGTTGGAGGCGAAGTTTACGATCCTGAAAATAACTCATGGGTTGAAATGCCAATTGGCATGGGAGAGGGTTGGCCTGCGAAGCAGGCAGGAACCAAATTGAGTGTTATTGTGGATGGTGATTTGTATGCGTTGGATCCATCAACTTCTTTGGATAGTGCTAAGATCAAAGTATATGATCATGACGATGATGCTTGGAAAGTGGTTGCTGGAGATGTCCCCATCCGTGACTTCACTGATTCAGAGTCTCCTTACCTACTTGGCGGCTTTCTTGGGAAGCTTCATGTGATCACAAAAGATGCAAATCATAACATTGCAGTCATGCAGGCTGAAAGACATAATGATTCAAGTTCCTTGCCATCAACTTCATCAACTCCTTTAGATGAATCCTCCAACTCGGCAGGCTCTGAGTCGAATGTCTGGAAGGTCATTGCCACTAGGCGTGCCGGTTCTGAGGAATTGATCAATTGCCAGATTCTTGATATCTAGAATTATATTATGCATGAAAATTCAGCTCCTAAAATGTTTTTTACCAGTAAAGTTTGTATTTCGTAAGTTTGATTGAATTTTATCATTTGTTTGTTGCCTGGAGTGACAATTGATATATATATTTGATAGGGGTTGCATGTTAATTTTATGGTATTGTAAAGGATCCATGATTCTGCTGATCATTTTCCAGCATTGCTGTAGAAATTGACTGCATATTTTCATATGAATTGTGTAAACTCCAACAGAAGATGTTTGAGCATGTTTTCATAAACTTTTAGTATTGACCAAATAATGATTTATCTTGTGTTTCTTGCTTTTCTAGCTTTTATTTTTATGTTTTGCATTCAGTTAAACTGGACTACTAATTCAAATGGTGAATGATGCGCTCTCTTACCAATCGTGATGTCTGAATTAATAGTCGGGTCTATAGTGACAATTAGAATGGATTGAGGGTACTCTTCAACAAGAGGGATGTACACATAGTCAACACTCACAAAGGCATATGAGAACTTGTGTCCATGATGAATCTCATTCAAGGTAAAGTAACCAGTTCATAATTATTATTCATGTTCAGTTATATATTTTCAGGAAATTATATGAGCAAAATTTTATTTTACACTTAAAAACAAAAGCATCAAAATTTGGGTCAACCTATGACCTTACTTTATTTAATGTAGATGTGAATAATTTTGGAGCACCACCACAGCATGTGCATGTAATGCTTCCAAGGCTGCACAAAAGGGAATGGATGAGACCGACTTTGTCTTCCACCCAGACAACCAAGGTGGGTCAAGTGGGATATACCTCATTTCATAGCTAGTGCTCTTATTGGTTCAAGAGCATCATGTTAACATTTTGAGTTGGTTCTCCGAAGCTACTAAATAATTACACTAGCACGAGGCTCTTGAGCCTTGTTGAGGCTTCTAGGATAGTTTCTCTGTGACCAAAAGTAGTAACCCTAATGAACTCTTCACCACCAGGACCAAACCCACTCCCAGGGACTGTAATTATGTGCGTCTTTTCAAGAATTTCATTAAACACATCCCAAGACCTCAAACCTGGACAATGAACCCACAGATAAGGTGCATTTACACCACCATAGACATTTAAGCCCAGGGAAGCAAAACTTTCAGCAAGTATGTTAGCATTCTCTTTGTAGTAGTCAACCACAGAGAGCATTGCCTGAAAAAGGAGATTTAGCAGCGTAAGTAATTATATATATATATATATAGAATGCTGATTAAATAGTTTTTTATTATAATAAAAAAAGTAGCTGCCTAGCAGGGGAAGACTGGAACCTAGGCATAGTATGTGATAAGGAAGTACCTCATCCACTAGGCTAACCCTTAGTCTTGCTAATTAAATAGTCAGAATACCAGAAATTAGAAGGTTTTCTGTTGATAAGTGACATCCTAGTTTCAGAACTGGAGAAACTTTATTGTTGGCAGCTAAGTTTAAAATGCTTTTAGGCAGCAAAACCACATGCTTATTCCTTGGGTTTGAGACTCTAAAGAAGCTTGATAAGTATTTTTATGCCCCATTCTAGTTTGGCCTACCCAAATTTTTATTTATGGTCATGCAGAATTCTCCCCGAAAGAAGCAGGTGTCACCAGCTTGAGAGGTCTAGGAGAACATATTTCGTGTAACATGTACACTGCCATGATGTACTGGTTTTGGATCCCACTCGTGGCCCCTGCTACAAAAGATATCTAGAGGGCATCGCAGAGGCTACAAGAGAAATGCTCTCTTCAAGCCACCAATTTCTTATTTCAGGACACAAGTTTGGCGACCATTGAATTTGGCGACCATTGAATATTTTCCTTTTTAGACAAACTCAAAGTTTGTCCATCTTTTAACTCTTTAAGATCACAAAGTAAATACTTCAAACACAGAAATTTTCACAAAAAAGTGCACTGAATGCAGTGCTAGCAGCATTACATTCATCATGGTAGAGTGTGGGTCCCATATAGTGTATTTTGTGCAATCTTCTGGACGAAATTTGTGTCCCCTTACTTTTTTTGGGGGTAGGTGTGTCCCCATACTTACTATATTAGAAAAGCTCAGTATGCTTCATTGCTTTATAAGCATAACAACAGCTATGACAAACTAACCTTGGCACCCTCTGGGGAAAGACATGCTAGCCCACCGGCCTGAGCTACATTGGAAGCACCGTTAAAGCAGGAGCACACAATTCGATTGAAGTCATGTATGACAGGAAACCCGTTTGAAAATAAGAGCTCGTCAGGTACCACAGTCCAACCAAGACGGACACCAGTGAACCCAGCAATTTTGGAGAATGAGGAAATTTCAATTGCAACCTGTAAAGTACTCAAAGCTGAGTTAGACAACAATACTCTAATGTGCCATTAGGTCAGAAGCAAAACTAGTGAACTAGAAGGTTTCTTAGCTACTAATGCAAACATTCATGAACAGACATTTACTTGAGAAATATTTAGGGTGGGAGTATAATGTGCTCTGATTGATAGTCGATTTAGACGAAAAACAAAAGGGCAAATTTTTTTAAATTTAATTCTAGTGAAATAGCAACCAACATTACCATAAATATCTAATGAAGCAGGGGAAATAAAGGAGCTTAAATAAAATAGGAAGAGTTACAAAGAAAAAAAAGGAAAGTAGAAGAAAAAATTGCAAAAAGGTGGGGAATAAGAAAAATTGCAAACTGGTGGAAGAGAAGAAAGGCAGCAGCTGGGAAGGGAAGGGGAAGAAGGAGGAGAGAGCAAGAGGCTGAGTGGCAAAAGATTAATTTTCACCATGTTTTTGTAGTTACTTTTTCAACTTCCAACCACCCCTGCTAAAATTATTTTTTATTTTCACCCTTTTGCAATTACTTCTTCTATTTCCCATTTTTCTATAGTTCTCCCAATAAAATACAATTCATGGCAATGATCTACCTCTATGGCCCCAGGTATTTCATATATTGATTGAGGACTTTCATCGGTGATATAAGCAGCATAGGCAGAGTCATATACAATGATCGATCCATTTTCCTTGGCAAATTCCACAAGTTGCTCTAATTGCTCCCTTGATGCCGCATGGCCAGTTGGATTATTTGGAGAGCAAAAGAAGATAACGTCTGTTCTTAAAGTGTTCGACAGATCAGGAAAGAAATGATTCTGAGGCCCACATTTCATGTATACAATGTTCTGATACTTCCCTGTTTCATCTTCAAAACCACCAGCCTGACCTATTATGACACTTGAATCTATATATGCCTGTTCCAAAATACATCTTCATCATAAATCCATCGGTGCTAAAGTCTTGATTTGCCCAAAAAAAAAAAAAAACATGAGCATATTCACACGAGGCCGTGATGATAATTCAACTATTAAAACTCAATCATCCCAGGAGATAATATGCATACAACAGAAAACTTATGGTAGATATGCTTCATAAAATACAATGAAGAAATTGAGTTTCATACTCTTCTAATTGTTCTCTCAATAACTTTGGAATTTTATTTGCCCTTGGGAAATAAAATCAGTAAATGAAGTGTACCAGTAATTTTTTACGATGCATGATATGAAACAGTATGGTGCTGTAATTGATGCACTTGAGAATAGCACTTGATGAGTAATATTTGTACCAACTCCTGAAAACATAAATCAATTTCTTTTTTGCTCCAAACACAGTGATAAGGATAAGCCAACAAAACTAGGGGAGAAAGAGAGAGAGAGAGAGAGAGAGCGCAATTGAGGTCATTAATAGCATGTGTGCAACAATAGCCAGAAAAATGGTCATATTAACACTAGCCACTAACTTGCAAATTCATGGATGTTAAAAGAAAAAAGAAAAGTATTTAAGTGATATAACTTCACCGGAAAGGATGGATCCTGTACAGCAATTGTCACATTAGATCCCAAAAGCAGCTGAAAAATAGAAACACAGAAACATGAGTGTTGCCTCCGTAGTAAACCAAGCTTTATCAGAGGCTAAAGTGGGGTTTGGCAATTGCTTTTTTAGTAGTTTTTTGCTTTTTGTTTTTGTAGATTCTAAGAAAGTTTATGCATTTGATAATTGCAAATAAAAAAAAGAGTTGCTTTTTTGTTATATACATTTTGGTGAGATTTTGTTATATTACCCTTATAGTCTTGTGGAGTCCTTGTTAACATAACCAAAGGGACAAGATAGAATTTCTCAAAGTATAGAGAGTAAAATTTTCTTTTAACAATTCTGTTGACAATTCCCCCCAAAAAAGTTGTTTTTAATAGAGAAGTTTTTTTAACCAAACCAAACAGGCTTTTTACTTTTGGCTTTTTGGCCAAAAAGCTGTTTATTTAGAGATTGCCAAACAGGGCAAGTTGCTCCATTCAAAGTTAGAGACCACATTTAAAATTCACTATCATCACAAACACAAACAGAGCTCTGGAGCAGAAACATGCTTTGACCTTGAATGTTTGAATACCTGAAGGCGAGAGATATCACATTGTGAGCCGTCTGATACAAAAACTTCTGTATCTTTCACTGGTAGATCTCCATAGAATGTTTTTACTATTGCTTTCCTTAGTTCCTGAACAGAGAGACAAGTAAACCATAGTTTAGAAGTTCCACATCTTAACTATTTTAAATATCCAAAAAGTCCCTACTGAATTGGAGAAATATTATATATTTAATAAATATACAAGAAAAAGAAAAAAAAGAAAAAGAAAAAATCAAAAAGAAGAAGAAGTGCAACTTGCCAATTATCTCAGTGTTCTTTGTTGAATAGACAGAAAGTAATTTTGCAAACAGATACTGGCTACGAAGCACAGACATTTCTATGGAGGAGGTGCATCATGTCGGACACCGACACTCTACGGATACCCCTTAAAGCATTTCCGACACTTCTTCAAGGTATCTTAATTAAAAATTTAAATGCATAACATTGGACACTTTATAGATACTTTGCTGACACGTTGAACCCTCCAAACATGTCTTATAAAAAAATTTAAAAATTTAAGAATTTTTAATATGTCCTAGATGTATCATGTCTATTTTTCAAAAATCGACATGTCACCGTGTTCGTGTTTGTGATGTGTGTTTGTGTATGTGCTAACTTAGGATGCTAGTTGCAAAATGGATCACAAGAAACAAGAGAATATCACCACCAATACTAACATCACATTACCATGTTGCCTTGCTCAGCACCATACCCTCTATAGCCTTCAGGTGTTGAAAGGGCACGTGTAAACTGCAATGTATCAAATCAATGAAAATCCATTTAAAACTAGAATTCATGTGATTCCATCTCCCAATAGAGATTAAGTTGTTCATTGCTCATACCAGCAGAACTATCCTTCACCAAAGGGAGCTTCTATTTGCACATTACAAAAAATTTCAATTCACAGCATTTTTTCGTTCAGACATTAATTACCAAACAAATTTTCCTAGTTAGGATATCAATTATTGAACAAAAAACCAGTTTGGTCCTTGATATCCAAACAAGTAATTTTTGTCAGTAGTTGATTTCCAAACAATTGATTATTGTTTAATAGTTGATATCGGAATGAAACAGGTGGTGAGAACTTAGAAAAAGAGTGGTGTGCAAATAGAAGCTCCCTTCTCTAAATCTGGGACGCCTAGGTACTTAGACAAGAAGCTCCTCTGAAAAATTCTAAAAGATGAGAGAGACAGAGAGAGAGAAGTACTCCCAAAGATGAGAGTATGAATGACAAATCTTAAAGAAACTGATATCGATTTAGCAGTTCAACGCAAAGAAGGATTTCCCATAATATGATAACTCAATAGTTTATAGAACTTATTGTTAGTGACAGCTTGTCAGTATAATTATGTGTTATCCTGGTGTTTTTATTTCTGGTGCTTCTATATGCAAATAAGGAAAAAGAGCAAGCTAATAATAAAGTGATAGGGGCCCTCCATTTGATCTGATTTCACCAGGTACTATGTACCCAATATTTCTGGTCATATGAAGCACAGGTGTCTCCTACCAACTAGCATGGAAGAGCTTGGTGTGGTAGATAATCTCAGTATCACCCGTAATAGGGAACCAATTATTTAGGTTTTTAATTTTAGAAACTCAAAAGCCTAAAAATTTCAATTTAATTGTGAATAGAGTTTTTGAAGTTAGATATTTTAATTTTTTGTTTACACTTCTCTTCCAATATGTGAAATGTGGAAAAAAAAAATCACTACTACTAAAAATATTTGTAACATAAAAAATGAAGAAATTATTTTTTCCATGAATGTATACAAATATATATTTATTTGCTGTTGTATCCCTACCATGTCATGTCCTTATCTTCTAAAAATTGACATAGCGGTGTTGAATAGCTTGGTATACATTGATAAGCTCATTTCCTAACTGTTTAAGCTTTTGGGACAATTTGTGACTTAACACGGTATCAGAGTTCAAGTTAGGAGAGATCTAGGGTTCAAGTCTCTCTATTTGTATTTGGTTCCCTTTTGCATTCTCTCTACTCTCTATGTGTAGATGTTTGCATCTCCATGTGTAAGTCATGGGTTGTAAATGGGTTTCACATGAAGGAGGGTGTTGAATAACTTGATATATATTGTTTGGTCCATTTCCTAACAACTTAAGCTTTGGGGGCATATCCGTATTTTGTCGTATCCGGGCCTCATGTCCATTTCCATACTTCATAGGGAGAGAGTACCAACATATGTGGACTTACCTTGTAGAATTAGAAAAACTGATATCTAAAATATAGTTTGAACAATTTTTAAGAAGTCTTTTAGGCAAAAGCAAAAAACTTGTCTCATTTGAACCATATCAAATAGGTTGAAGCGCGAGGGTCATTTTCTGCCATCTATTAAGAAAACAAATTTTTGTGTAACAGATGCAAATGAATCAAAGATCAGTAAATGAGACTTACATCAGACATTGCCAAAGTTATAACTTCTGGTATAGGCTCTGTTGTATTGCCAATCCCAAGCCTTATCACTTTTTCATTTGGGTACTTCTTAATGTGTTCAAGTTCACGTGCTGAAATCTTTAATGCAATGAGAATCATTAGTGTATGATAATCAAAGTCACACAAAGGATCCAGAAAGTGTTCATGTAGAAGAAGTCGATATCAACAAACAAGCTAAACATTAGTTTAAAATCATTCAATGAATAGGATAGAATATAAAACGAAAATGAGATGCAGAACTTTCGATTTGCAACCTTAACAAATTAAATTACCAATGATCACAATGAAGGCAATGGGGAAACTAGATAGATTAATCCGTTTGTCAAGTGATAACAAACTGAAATTCAAGAAAAGCAGCTAATGTGTTAGGCATGGGAAATGTTAGAAGCAACAAACCTCAGGAAACAAATAGTGGTTTCGCAACCTTTCCATGTGTAAATTGCGGGCTACCTTTGTACAATGACCAGTGACTGCATTCATTTTAGCATTTAGTTATTTAACGTAGACCTAATGAAAGACCAATAACAACTAGGTTTAATAAAATGAAACGTATCCACATACCAATTTCCTCCATCTGAACATCCAAACTGCATAACAATCAATAAACAATAATAGAATACTGTAAGGCAATGTATGAGCAAGAGCTTAACACAAGAGAGCACTAAAAACTGTTTAACAGGACCTATAATAAAATCATTTACCTAGCTCTAGGCTGCAAGAAAATTGGATTAGGCCTAAAATTGCAAGTTGAAAACTTGAACATCTTTCGGCTAAATTTCTTACACCAAACACACTCCTCCAAAGGTTTTTTTTTTTTTCCCCAATGTGAGATGAGTAGTAGTAAGAATACTATATACATCTACAAATATATAGTCTCATACCATGATGAATCAATCAGAATCATTTGTCGCCCTCAACTTGGATCGTTCTAAAGCAAACAACTTTCACACGTGTGAAATCAATCATTTCACACTACGTCAATATCCAGGGTTTTGATTTGTGGTATTCTAGGGCCAATGCATCCCATGTGTCACAGTACGGCTAAATTAACAAAAAAATAGACACATTTTCCACAAAATTTACCTAATTTCTTCACTTTTCCTTATTTTCTCTGGGTGACACTATTGACTTACAATACATGGTAATTTAATTGAGGTTCTTTCCTAGATATTATCTTTTTTTAGGACTAAAAACAAAAGCTGATACCACCTTTGAAAATCCTTGATATTATATAGCTTAATGGTAAAGGGAAGGGAAAAAATGCAAGTCACCACTCAAAGTAATTTCATTCACTTGTTGCCATGCAATTAGGACCTTCCCAAGTCCATTTGATTTACTTGCAACTTGTCAGTATTACATCAAAAGATAAATCAGTACCAAAAATTACCAATGTTTTTGTAATTTCTTCTCTTTGTTTTACTATGATTTAACCCCCGAATCCAGCCCCCCTTAACTGAGCACATACAACTGCATTCGGGAAAATATTTTAATCTATAAGATTCCTCGGATGGAGAGGCAGCTGGTGATACTAAGCCAAAGCACTAATGGTTGTAAGAGATGTCACCTTGGACATCCAGAAGATAAATCAGTAATAAAAGTTACAGAAAATTTTCTAATTTCTTCTCTTTGTTTTATTATGATTTAACCCCCAAAATTAACCCCCCCACTTAGCCAAGCACATACAACAGCATTCGGTAAAATATTTAATCTGTTAAACTCCTTAGGTGAAGATGCATCTGGAGACCACAAAACCAAAAACACTAATGGTTAGAAGAGATGATACAAAACAATTTTCAAGTCAGTTGCATCAACCGTTATGTGACCAATTCTTCTACTTATACAGAAACCATTATGTGATCTCTCACATGGGTGTGGGGCCCACAAAAAAGGTGGGACTCACCTTATTTGAGAGGGTTGTGTCCGATTCTGTGATAAGTTTCTGTGTTTCTGGACTTTTTCTTATGCGACATAACCCAAATGCATACATGGGAAATTGGACTGCTCAGTTCAGTGAATCCTACAGGAGTGCTATCTCTTCCCTTTGAAAAGTCATCAAAACTGGTTCATGTTTCATATCAAATATACAACACAAACAAGGTCAATCTTAAATAATCAGTAGACTAAACAGAGATTTTCTTTCATACTTTCTTTGAAACTATTATCAAATTTTCATGTGACTACAGAAAAAAACCATGTAATTTTCAACACAAAATCCTCAACTGGTTTGTACACAAATTGATGAATTTAAATCAAATTTCTCCACGAACCAAACAAGAATTTCAAAGAAAACTCGAACTCACCAGCCCTTATCTGCCAAAGATGCCAAACATGAAATATAAGCCAATGAACATGTAGTATGATTCTTACAATGTAACTGAGTCTACGCTACTAATTCCATTTGACCATACATAAAGTCTACCCAAGAAAATAGGACATAAACTATAAATATATTTGACTTCTAGAAATAGAAGACAAACTTGGTACAGGTATCATCCTAAACCTGCAAAAGGCGAAACTACAATGAATTCACCTAGTAAATGGACTAAAATGCATACAGATGTCACCCACCCAAAGCATGCAGCAGAAGAAATACAATGTTGTAATTTGTAAAAACTCTATATTGTATGTAAGAGTCTACCCAACTAATTGTTCTTTTTTTTGGGTGGGGGGGGGTTGCAAATTTCACTTTACCTCCTGTGATTGAACTCTATGCGCAGTTTGCTCCCTTAACATTTAGAAATAAGCACATAACTCCATGTGGTTTGTGAATTAAAGTACACCGTCAGTAACTTAAGTGAAAAGATTAAAATACCCCTGTACATAACTTAAGTAACCTCGTTGTGTAAATCACAGCCCTTATCTGCCAAAGATGCCAAACATGAAATATAAGCCAATAAACATGTAGTATGATTCTTACAATGTAACTGAGTCTACCCTACTAATTGCATTTGACCATACATAAAGGCTACCCAAGAAAATAGGACATGAACTATAAATATATTTGACTTCTAGAAATAGAAGACAAACTTGGTACAGGTATCATCCTAAACCTGCAAAAGGCGAAACTACAATGAATTCACCTAGTAAATGGACTAAAATGCATACAGATGTCACCCACCCAAAGCATGCAGCAGAAGAAATACAATGTTGTAATTTGTAAAAACTCTATATTGTATGTAAGAGTCTACCTTTTTTTTTTTTTTTTTTTTCTTTTTTTTGGGGGGGGAGGGGGGTTTGCAAATTTCACTTTACCTTCTGTGATTAAAACTCTATGTGCGGTTTGCTCCCTTAACATTTGGAAATAAGCATATAACTCCATATGGTTTGTGAATTAAAATGCACCGTTAGTATAGTTAACAACTTAAGTGAAAAGATTAAAATACCCTTGTACATAACTTAAGTAACCTCATTGTGTAAATCACAGCCATTTTCGTCATTTTTTTAGGACTCAAAATACACGTTACCCCCTTATGCTTTACTCGACGTGCAGTTTACCCTCAACAATTGGATATGAGCACATAACCCCCTTATGTCTAGGCATGTCTTTCATACTTTATGTTAACATGGATGGAGTATCTAATAGAGCACTTTAGTCTACAACCAAACGGAGTTGTATGATTACTTTCGAATGATGGGAGGGTAAACAGCACATGGAGTAAATTGTAGGGGTGTGAAGTGAAGTTAGCACCCCCTTTTTTATTAGTAGGAAATAATTTACAAACATAATGAGGTTTACATCAAACTAGACATTCAACTATATAAAAAAGTCCAACTTACATTACGCATACCATAGACCTAACAATCACACAAGAAAGACCCCGAAACAAATACAATGGAAGAGATCCACACGTAAGTGGAAAGAGTCAAACCCCAAACCTCTACATGAGATGCAAGGGCTCTTAGCCAATGGGCTAGCCTTATTGGTTCCAACCTGTAATAACCCCGACTTCCGATTAATGCTAATCCATGATTAGTTATGCCTAACAGTAATTTAGAAGGAATCCGGAATTAATTTGCATATGTATTGCATTATCTTTGCGTTTCTATCTATTTGCCATAAAATGATCTGTTCATGTTTAGACTTTGAACTACGAATTGAAAGCCTTATCGGCGCCCGATTTCGAAATTAATTAGTGTTGCATACTAGTTAGAATATATGTGATTTTATGATAGATTTAATTAAAATTTGATTTGGTATGATTAATTAAAGTTAAATTACATCAACTTGAATTAATTGCATCTTTGCCACTAGTGGGCACTTTAGGCCATTAATAGATTTTATATCTTTTTGCATCATTCCTTCACTCTTTCTTAGACCAATTCGAGAGAGAGAGGGAGAGTAGGAGAATTTGAGTTCAACAAGAGATTTAGCTTGGGGACTTAGATGAAATTAAAGAAGAATTGCATATTTGAGCTCCTACAGCTTGAATTCAAGACCTAAGGTAGAGATTTCATTCCCTTGAACTTGAATTTGAATTGTTTCTTTCATGGTTCATGGTTAATTAGTGTCTAAAGCTAGGAATTGGGTTAAAATGTTGAATTGAGGATTAATTCATGCATGCATGCATGTTTCATAGCATTTTGAAGGATGAGTTTCAAGAATTTCCTCATGCATGTGTTGATTTCATTCTGATTTTGGAAACACAATGAGTTTCATGTTGTTTGATAGCATTTGATCATGTTTTCATGTTTTGGATCATTTATAAAGTTTAAGTTGAGTTTGTGCATAATTGGTTTGCTCTTGGGCCATGATTTCTTGAAATGATGCTTTTAACATGTTATTTTGTGGGTTACCAAGTGTTTTCCAAAGTTTTGGCCCAGAAAAATGAGTTTTGGATGTTGATGGTTGAGTTTCATGCTTGGAGGTCAATTTGGATTTTCTAGAAATTTGCCCCACGCTTGAGTACATGCATTTCCGCTCGAGCAGCGAGAGTCACGCTCGAGCGTGAAATGCGTATACCCAGAAGTTTGTGTGTTTTGCAGTCCGCTCGAGCGGGGGAAGCCACGCTCGAGCGAGGGTCTGTGTCACACACTCGAGCGGGGGTCGAGCGCCCGTCGAGCGTGAATTTCATGCATCCAGCACTTTTTCATAAGTTTGTAGTCCGCTCGAGCAGGGAAGTCCACGCTCGAGCGGAGCTTCATTGTCTGCATGTCCGCTCGAGCGTGAACCTTATCTTCAGCAAAATTTGAAAAATGGTTTTCAATGCATTTTTGCATCATCATTCCATCCTAGGCATTCCTAGGCCATGTTTAAAACCCCATAATGAGGATAAGAGATTAGAAACACACTAAGAGTCAACGAAATAAGTTTTGTACAATTAAAACATATGTTTCAAGTATGCATTTGTTATGTGTTGTGTAGGTCACGTGCCATGTATCGTTTGACCAAGTTTACTCCGTCTGTCTGTCTCAAGGCCCACCGTGAGTAATAACTCTGTAAAGTTATGTTT